ACCCACCCCCCCCCCCCCCCCCCCCCCCCCCCCCCCCCCCCCCCCCCCCCCCCCCCCCCCCCCCCGCCCACCCCCCCCCCCCCCCCCCCCCCCCCCCCCCCCCCCCCCCCCCCCCGGCCCCGCCCCCCCCCCCCCCCCCCGCGCTGTAGGTTCAGTAGTAAAGGGGATAGGCGGACTTCGACTGTTAGAATCGAGTTTAGACGGAACGTGTGTACATGTACAAAGCCCCATCTGATTGTTGTTTGATCAAGAACTTCAACGTCTGAGGTCTCGTCTCCTGTACGAAGTCAATAGTCTCAACGTTGTTTACAATCTGACCGATTGTCAACGGTCAAGTAGATCCTGGTCAGCTCTAACCTAGGAATTTCCTGTCGACGATCATATGCATAGGCAAGGTTGGGGCTGCAGCTGAATGCCGACATCAATAAATCAAGGGTCAATTTTCTAGGTTCGCTAGGAGTATGGGGAAATTGAACACCAACCTACCGGTATTACTATATTATACTATACCGTCATACGCCAGCACGGCAAAGCGGACTCGGAGCAAAGTCAGTGGATAAGTCTCTCCCCGCCGTCTGAGGGACTGGTTGCAGCTGGCTGAAAATTGCTTACTTCTTTACATTTGACTACCAACATGATATAAATCCTTCCTCCTTTTTCTTTTCTTTCCTCTTTGGCCAACGTACCTCCACTGTTTAGGCACCAAATGCAACCCAGGAAGAAAACTCGATTTCTCCATCGGGAATAATCGTTACAATACCAGATTCCATTTCGTCACGATAGTAATCGCTAAATGAGTTGCATATAACCTCGTTAATATTTTTTCCCGTGCCTGTTTCCTGCGTCTCGTCGAGTGATGACATTAGGTCTACATGCATTAAGACAATAATTGTAGCTCAATGTACAATACCTCACACCGCAGGCCAAGCTCAACACGAATCACTTCTAACCTAGCCCTGGTGAAACGCTATCATTGATAGTTTACTCGCATCAATCAAGAACAGCATCAGTGGTTTAGTGGTAAAATCCATCGTTGCCATCGATGGGCCCCGTGTTCGATTCACGGCTGATGCAGATTCCCGGTTTCTCGGGATTTGGCTCCTCCTGATAGCTCAGTTGGTAGAGCGATGGACTGTAATTGCAAAAACTCTTTAGAGATCCACAGGTCGCGTGTTCGACTCACGCTCGGGAGAAACTTTTTTTTATCCAATGCTCTGCTTACCTACCTGGGTACATAGGGGTTGCCGTAAACGGGCACTGATACCCCGGCGTTCTCTCAAGTCCGCGAAAGGAACCGGCCTTCATGCAACCAATTCGAGACATGCATGCTAAGAACCAGGGACTTGCTGTGCCATACATTTTCCGCGACAATATATCGCTTTGAAACTTAGAGCTAGCGACCCGGCGTTGAACTATCCGGTGCTTTCTCATCCTTTGACCTTGTGAACCTTGTGTACTCAGGACTGCCAAAACTGTCATCAAATATCTTATCATCCATAGTATATATATTTCACTTATACAGGGCCTTTTGCCCCGTAGGCTACTCAAATCTCAAAAATCTCACCAGCTCCGTAACCGCCGCCGCCTCTCCTCTCGTCGACGAGGTCCAGCCTCCAGCCCTCCCAGTTCTTCAAGCCGCGCTTCAACTCCTTGATGCGTTCAAGCCGTCGCTTGGCGTCTTCTGCCTGTGCGCGCTTGAAGGCTTCCTCGTCAAACTCCATATCGTCGTCGTCTAGCAAATCATCGTGATCATCAGCGACACCCGCTAGCGCATTGATACCGCTGGTCAGGTAGTCGCTGAAACCCTTATTGCCCGATTTTTTCGCCGTGTTGGGAGATACCGGGCCATTGTTTCCTAAATCGACGTTGGTAAAATCCGCTTCGGCGCCCGGCTCCATCTCTCGCCGCCGCTGGTGCCAAATACCTCTCTGTAAATCGAAGACTTCGCTTTCAAGGTCTCGGATTCTCTTTTCCATGCGCTGTCGCTCTTCATTCTCGAGCTCGTCGAGACCCTCTTCGTCGCCACCACCGTCGGCAGCCTCTTTCTTTCGCAGACGCAGATTATCCGCCTCGAGTGTCTCGATTTTGTTTTTCGCCTCCTGCAGCTCCTTTTCCGTGCGCTCCTTATCTTTGCGTAGCGCTTGAGACCGGCTGTCATTTTCTTTATGTAACGTGCCCAACGCCGCGACTTTCTTTTCTAAAGCCTCTGCTTTCTTCTCTAATTCTAGCTTCTCAGCTGTAAGCTGCTCCAAGTCGCGTTCGATAGACCGTAGTTTTGTTTCAGCGCTTGTCCTGGCGCTGCCTTCTTTGACAACGCGTTCCGTAGTGCGTTCAAGATTGCGTTTGAGATCCCCAAGCTCTCGCTGCGCTTTCATCGCAGCTTGCTCAGCCCGCGCTAGCTTTTCCTCTAGGGCGGTAATCTGTTCCCGATCTGTCCCTCCAGCTGTCGTTTGCCTCTCTGCTTGGGCGCGAAGGCGGGAGATCTCTAGCTCCATTGTTTCTATAGTAGCCGACTTTGATTCGAGCTGCGCCTGCAACTCATCTGCGGGAGTGCCGGTCGCTATTGAAGGCGAGGACGCATGGCGTTTTGTAGCAGCTGCCTGCAATTGTGAGTTCTGTCTCTGGAGAGCTGCAATCTCCGATTTCTAGAGGGGATCACTTAGTAAACCATCTTTCAAGCCCTGTGGGTGCTAATAAATCCTTACCAGCTTTTCAATTTGGCTATCCTCTGACCCGTCCCGATCGGCCTCTTGTAGGTCCGCAAGCTCCTCTTCTGCCTTTTTGTACCGCTTCTCAGCATCGCTTGCCTCCTTTGACAGTCGCTTGTTCTCCTTTTCCAAGTCCTCGATTCGGGCTACTTGTTTACGATAGATATCAGCCGCAGTCTCGCCTTCAGGCCCCAGGCCCAAACTCGGCGATAAAGGTCCTTGGCGGAAGGATGAAGATCTAATTTTGGATTGTTGCGTCAGAGACGCATTGGCCTGTGTCGGAGAGGTAGGCTCTTCGGTCGCTTCCTCGACCGCGGTCTCGGCGGCGGGAGTCTCAACGGGGGTCGGCTCAGCGGGAGCAGGTTCCTCGGCGACAGCAGCAGTGGTCGCCCCCTCGGACTTGTCCTCTACTGGCTCTTCTTCCTCCTTCTTTCCTTTCTTCGCTGCGCCGCCCTGCTTCTTCTTCTTCTTCATTTGTTCGACCTAGCCGGGGAATTTTAAGGTTAATGGTCCCAGTCGCCCACTGACTAATCCGAACCATACCTTCTTCCTGGCGGCGGCCAGCTTCTCCGCCTTTTCAGCATCTGTTAACTCCTTCTCCGCCATGCTTTCGAATTTCGCGATAGGCGATATTGAGTGAAATAGGCTCGACGGGGAAAACGGTGGGCTAAAGAACCAATTGGTTGGCCTCGAAGCGTAATTGAGATAAGCTGTTCCCTTTGGTAAGTCGACAAGGTTATGTGTCCATAGTGGACGTAGGTACCTTTAGGTAATGCTTGTGCGCTACAGCTAATAGAGTCCCACTTGACCTGCGCGTCAGAGGGTACCTGCGACACAGCTCTAATTAACGGGATGCACGGGCCACATAGCTCCGGGAAGCGCCGTTACCTCCTGCCTCCATTATCGGCGCGGTTCGAGGTCGTGCCTATCAACATGTGAATCTATACTATTATTGGAGAACAAGCACTGCTATAAACAAAAGAGGACGCTCCTTCCAAACTTATACTGTAACTTGTCAAACCAGAGCATGAATCGTAGTAATATCAGAATTTCCTATCAACTATTCCGGACATCTAGGAGGAAACTCATCACCACAATGGCCCAAACAAACCGTCGACGCTTTGCGCCGTTAAAGCTTCCGACGGAACACAAGACGGACTTACCAAAATTACAAGGCGTAATTTTTGATGTTGATGGGACACTCTGGTAAGATCTTTTCCCTTGCCTGTACCTAAAACTATGACACCAAGTATCTCGGAGGAACTTTGTCGGAACCCAGGAGGGGCAATGAGGGGCACTGAAATAAATCGCTGTACATTTTAAAAGTGCATTTGCTGTTTACGAGTACTAGGCGTATTTTGTACATCCTTGAAGTGCTTCATACTTGCAAAACAAGAAAACCCAGAACCAAGCAAAAATCACCCATATTCGATCCTACAGCTCATCTTCATAAGCGCACCTTCCTCTGCACCATTTTTTGTGACGAGTTTCTGGATACCTGAAACTTTGAGAAATCTCCCGCAGATGCTCATATTCATATAACCCAACTAACAACCATGCTAGCCTTCCTCAAAACTACATGTTCGCGCAAATGCGCGCCGCACTAGGGATACCCAAAACGACCGACATACTAGAGCACATCTCCTCGCTGCCGACGACAGCGGAGCAGGAGCTCGCAATGGAGTCGATCCGCGCCATCGAGCGCGAGGCCATGGCGTCGCAGGTCGCGCAACCGGGTCTGCAGACGTTGATGACGTACCTGCAGGACCGCGGCGTGCGCAAAGCCATCTGCACGCGCAACTTCGAGCAGCCCGTCGCGCATCTCCTGGGCAAGTTCCTCGTCGGTCTCGACTTCGCGCCCATCGTCACGCGCGATTTCCGTCCGCCCAAGCCCGATCCCGCTGGCCTACTATTCATCGCGCGCTCGTGGGGCCTTGTGCGCGATGCGACGAATCGCGATTCGCCCGTCACTAAGGCGTTGCTTGAGGCCGCTGTCCAGGGAACTGAGCTCGAACAGAAGGGCGCCAAGGGTCCGCCGCCGCAGGATGGTAATAAGACGGATGGCGTCGTCGTTGAAGAAGAAGTCGGTGATGCATCCATGCTTATCATGGTCGGGGATTCCATCGACGATATGACGGCTGGGAGACGCGCGGGCGCGGCAACGGTGCTTCTCGTGAATAAAGAGAATGCTCACCTGGCGGATCATCCGCATACTGACCTTGTCATCGGTAGTCTGGATGAGCTAGTGCGCGTATTAGAAGATGGCTTTGTGGGGAGAGATATTCTAGGGTTGGCCGGTTGAGGTAAGGCAGATACCATCGGAAATCGTTTTCTCCAACCACCACATCCACGTATGGCTCGATGGTAGCTATAGGATACTTTAAATATCCCAAAGGACCGTTAAAGCTACCAACATTCCCACAGAGGGATTAATAAACCACGGCAAGATCCCGCTCCCATTCACGAATCTATCACATTGTCGTCACCAACCAACCCATGGTTCCTCTCTTTAAACATGGTCAAAAATAAAACGGCACGGCAATGTAAGTATTGGAGGGAACAAGTTAGTAAACGAGAACTGATGGAAACCTCCTTGAGGTGGTTTGCTGTTATATGTATTTGCAGTATGCGCTGAGCCACGCCTCAAGCGTGCTCTGCAATAACTACATACAGAGAGCTGTTGAGAACATCCAGTTCCGTCTGTACCGTCATATATCGATACATAAATCCCTTTCATGGCTTGCTCTTCGGGTATGTGGTATCCTCGCTACAATCATCCGTACAACAGGCGAGACATGCGATGTAGCTGCACCGGCTGTTTGGCCTCAGCTTCTAGACTCGCATCTTCCCGGTTTCTAAACGGACCGTACCATCATTATAAGAACAAGCACACAAGGCGCACTTTCAGCAGATTTAAGCCATGCTGGTTGCTATAGCGACTCGCCAGTCGAAGAACTAACCGAGCCATATCCTGTGCCCGTCTTCCGGTTGTGCTGGGCCCTGGCCATTCCCCACGAGTTCGAATTTGTCTTCGTCCTTTTTTCGTTCAACTCATTTCCGAGGATACCCCATTGCACCGTAATTCCCATTTGGCGGATACACTACTTGCCGTCGACCATCGTTTCGCATCTCTTCCGGCGTCTCCTTCCTCGGCGGGGGAGGGGGATAATGCCCGCCAGGCGGTCCTGACCTTAGGGGCAGTGTGAAAGTACCAGCACCAGCGCTACCGGGGAGTGATGGGTCTGCGTTCCCGGCTTTCGGTATGGACCCAGCTGTTGCTGATCTCTGGCCTAGGCCTGGATGACCGCTAGAGCCGCTGGATCTACCAATGCTTGCCGCCCCATTTCTAGTGGGTGACCGACTTGGCACTTGTCCATAATGGTCTCTTGGTGATATCATGGCTCCTGCAATGGGGATCTCACCAGAAGTTGGCGTATAAGCAGGATTGGAGTCACTCGGTGGGAGTGGTGAGTCGGCAGATTTTA